ACATTAGATAAGTGACTTTTTGCCCTTTTAACAAGATGCCCCTAAACTTTAATAATTAGTTGATAAATTATACAGAAAATACTTGCTAATTATTCAAAATGTGTAATATTTTAAGCAAAAATGCCAAATATTCCCCAGTTTCATCTTCTGAAATGTGTAGATTTGTTGCTCTTCAGAATATGTTGAAGTTCTGTAGTGTTGGTCGGACAAAAAAGGACTTTTTAAACTATTTTCTGACATTTTATAGACAGAATGATTGGGCCAAACATTAATTGGCGGATTAATTGATCATCAATAAGATAAATAGTGTTCAAAACAAGTAGAATTACACTACGAAGTACGCTCTGAAGCAAGGACGTCCCGTTACAGATACAGTGTCTGGGTCAATTTTGGGACAGAAATGTATTTTCACGAATTAAATGATTAAGTCAGTTTGTTACGGCGACAAATATAACATCAAATGTGATAAATATCTAATATTCTGATTGATTACCATGTGTGCAGGTTGGAGTAATCGCAGTCCACAGCGCCGGGGTCTCCTCCTCTCCTCTTGTGCTGTGTGCAGTCCGTCCGTAGGTGTGGACTATCCTCTCTTTATCTGTGGACCTCCGGTTAGGTGGTCCCTGTAGCTGGTAAATATGTGAATAGTTTGTTTGACGTTCTTCTCTCCGTCTCCGGTTTTCTGGATTAGGGTGTTCCTATGTGTAAACTGTTTGTTTGAGCTTGTAAATATTGAAACGCTCCGTTTAATCTTGTCCCTTCCGTTTTTACTTCAAATAGTACTTCAAGGGATTATTTTTGCCGATGCCGGATACTCAGCCAGATTAGTTGGTTGTGGTCGTTGTGAGTAAAAGGTAACACAATGGGAGTGGGTCTCAATAATTATGTTTAATAAGATACGACAATTTCATAATGTGGCTTGGACAAATCTTCTTTATTTGTATGATATATAAAATAATCTTTAAAATACTTTTCTGTAAACTAAATGTGATATCGCCTTGAGAGTGTGTGAGAGGCGTTTCCAGTTATCTGAAGTTTTTCCTTATTGCTGCAAAGCACGAAGAACAAATATTAACTCTGTAATGACTCATTTATACTGCTATTTATATGCATTGCAAATACACAACTCCTGACATAGACTGAGAGTGGACTTTACAGTGAAGTAGGAGACAAAATGTTCATAGTTTAATGGATAATAAAGATGCAGCTCTAAACAAAATGAGTAATCTGTTAGCAAAGTTGTAAACTATGTCCATGTTTTAATTCTGGTGACATTAACACTTTC